TTGATTTATTGCTGTTGAAGTATTCAACCCTGCTGGGTAGTTCAGCAGTCGGTATATTGTGTTTGTACTACCCACTCGGGATAACTTTAGTGTACATGTCCTCAAACTTATCTGTATACTAGTTTATAACGTTCAGAATTATCTTATATTATACGAGTATATAAAATTCTCGTGTCACAATGTTAGTTACCATACTCCTCCCAAACGGCTTGATCGATTTTTATGAAATTTTATATGCATATTCAGTAGGTCTGAGAATCTACTATCTATTTTTCATTCCCCTAAGTGGTAAGGGATATCCACCCCTAAATATATATTTTTTATTTTTTCGACATAATATTTTATTTTCATTTTATTATTATTTGTGATTGAAAAATACATACAACCCTAAATTTTCACCCTTCTAGTATCAACCCCTATTTTTTAATGGCGTCTTTAATTTATATGGCGAAACAACATTTGCCAAGAAAGCTAGAAAAATATAATAATATTATAAAGCTGAATAGTTGGTATGTTTGTTTGATTGCGCTAATCTCAGGAACTACTGGATCGAATTGAAGAATTTTATGTTGGATAGTCCATTTGTCGAGGAAGACTTTAAGCTATATATTACTCTACGACCAATAGAAGCGAAGCATCAGTGAAAAATGTTGCAAAAACGGGTAAAATTCATATTTGAGGGCTTCCGTTGCGTGCACTGCGTAAACGGTTCAAGTTACCACATGCGAACAAAGTCCCGGATACAGCTCGTATTATATATTTTTGTAAGCTTAATCGAGGCCGTCAAATATATACATGTAATATATAAATATATATATAAGTACATATAAAGAATTCTATGTACATTATGCATGTTTAAAAAAATATCTAAATCAATTGTCTGGTACCTACTATATATAACACGTTCTGCTTAGCTTAGGACTAGATGTGCTGTGTAAATCAAACAGGCTAATAATAATATATAAACATATGTTATTATATTATGATTAGGCTACTGTAACAATTTACCATCAGGCGGGCCGTATGCTTGTGTGCGAACATCATAATATAAAAAAAAATATCAGTTACCATTTTCTATCCGGTAACTAGTCATTATTTACTATTGCAGTCACATAAAAAAATTACCATTACCAGCAAACTAGCGTAAATTAAGCATGCAACTGATGCGTGATGCCAGCCAAGAGTTAGTTTACGCTCTGTAGGAAGTAATAACAAAAAGTTTTACTATCAAAACTACCAACCTCATTTGTAAACTGGCGGGAAAGCATACCTATTAGTTGCGAAATTATATAAACTTTATTTATATAGTACTCGATGCAGCAAACTTTGTTTTGCAATATAATTAATATTGCTATTAAAAAATAGGGGTTGATGGTAGGACGGTGAAAATTTACGGGATACAGTCTTATATTAAAGCCCAGTATGTTTAATGGCACATTATAAAAAAAATAACAAAAAATTGGCCAAAAAGAAAAAAAATCATCGAGGGGACAACTCTTATCACTGAGGGGTATTAAGGTTATACGTATTTTTAATGACACATAATAAAAAAACTAAAGTTTTGTCCAGAAATAAAAAAAAAATTGGGGTAGACAACTCTTATCATTTAGGGGTATTAAAGTTATACGTATTTTTAATGCCAATTTATAAAAAAATAAAATTTTGTCCATGTATAAAAAAAAAATATTAGGGGTGGACATCTCTTATCACTTAGGGGTATGAAAAATAATAGCCGATTCTCAGACCTACTGAATATGGATATAAAATTTCATAAAAATCGGTCAGTCGTTTTGGAGGAGTATGGTTTTAAATTGATTTGAATTTGTATTATTACATATAAAGTAAATATGTCTTTTTGTTTATACATTGTTGCAGGTTCAAAACACTTTTTGTATTTTTTATTGTGGTCGAATTTCGAACACTTAGCGACAACTATGTTTTAGTGTTGTTATTTCAATTTTGTATGTACACACAGACAGGATACTCAAGTCTTGGTGGGTGTCGCTAATTCCCTCCATTCCTGTCCGAACCATAGACAGCCCGTCTATCATTCGCATTGTAGTCTATGATTGATGACGGCTGATATAATGATATTCTCAGCACTCGGAATACAGATCGACCATTGCGGTTTCAATGATGAAAACCTTTCGATTTTCAATTAACAGGACTGGCAGCATCAATCAATTTGATGAGTTGTCAGAAGTACTTCATATTGAGAGTGTATTTTTTTACATAGCCTTCCTTTATATAATATGTTATATTTATAACAATGCAGAAAAGAATGACATTGTAATTTTATTTTATACTAGCTGACTCGCGCAATTTCGTCGGCGTTTCATTTCCCTTTTGCAATATTCTTCATTGCAGCTCCGCTCCTATTGGTCGTAGCGTAATGTTATATAGCTTGAAGCCTTCCTCGACGAGTGGACTATCCAATACAAGAATTTTTCAATTCGAACCAGTAGTTCCCGAGATTAGCTCATTCAAACAAACAAACAAAATTTTGAATCCGCATCCTCGCTGAGTCAAATCGTTACCGTTACCGACAGTTAATTCGTTTATTAAATCATAATATTTTTTATACTAGCTAATAATAAATTCATTATCATCGTCATTTTAGTCGGAAAGACGTCCACTGCTGAACAAAGGCCTCCCCCAAAAAACTCCACGATGATCGGTCCTCGCATCCAACGGTTTCTACCAATAATTTTTACAACTATATTTTAAGTAAACTATACTTAAATCGTAGGACCTTACCGACAAATATTCTACAGCTTGCAATTCAAAATTCAAAATTATAAAATTCTAAATATCTTTATTCATGCAGGTCTATTACAGACTCTTATTATATGTCAAATCTACCATCAGTTCGGAATGATTTCGAGCTGAGAAGAACTGACAAGAAACTCAGCTCGTATTCTTTTCAAATAAATGTTGTACATGTTTACAATTAAAATTTCTTCCCTGTACAATGAATACAAAATTCAAAATCCGCCTCATCGCCGAGTCTCGCCAACTGAACTCAGGCTGAGTAGTAAGAGAGTTCCGCATAAATTTTATTCATATTTTTAATAGTTTTTTTCTCGCAATACTCTAATGCTGTTGGCCGCAGCTGGCCTTTACAGCTTCACCGGACGATAGGGGATGAGGGCAGATGGTACTCCAAACCCGCGGAAGGACTTATAGAACGACTGAAGGCCAGCTCCCGCTTGACGGATACGACTTTAGTCTAAGGGTACCGCCAGGGGTTCGAACCTCGACTCAGGTCGTCGTAATATCGATTCCCGTTTGAATTGGACGAGGTGTCGATCGGAGGGGAGTGTTAATAGTACCAATTAGCTGATACCACCGGGCCGTGATAGCGATTAAGTACTGGTTCTATTCAGGGTTGCCAAAAGCCTGAACAAAGGTCTCTCCCAAAATACTCCACGATCTCATCCGATGCTTTCTAATAATATTTTTTACAATTATATTTTAATTAAACTATTCCTGATGTAGGTAGAATGTTACCGAGTAATATTCTACAAGTTTGCAATTAAAATTTCTTCTCAGTGCAGTGAATACAAAATTTAAAATCCGCATACTCGCCGAGTCTCGCAAATTGAATTCAGGCTGAGTAGTGAGAGGGTTCCGCATAAATTTTATTCATACTTTTAATAGTACCAATTAGCGGATACCACCGGGCCGTGGTAGCGATTAAGTACTCGTTCTATTCAGGGTTGCCAATCTGCAGATTTTTCCAAACTGAAGAGGAAACTACACATCCTATGTGGTTGTAGCCCACTCATGCATAATTTTATTTTTCGTATTTTATTATTATTTCTTATGTATGTTAGTCTATAAGGTATTTATAATATGGGCCATGTAGCATGAATTAAATAAATAAATAAATAAATAAAAAAAAAAAAGTAATATCTCCTTTGGAAAGGTTACTCACTATCCTGAGGAAATAAAAACCATCGCTACTAAGATATACTTCAATTCTTGTCCCTGACGGGTCTAAGTAGCGAACTCTGAAAAAAGGCGAGCACAATAGATCTATGTACGAGGACGCAGTGCTATAGGTCCTAGCACCTGACAAAGGCCAAACTCCCCAATGAAAAAATTGGATTGTCACTTGGTTGGTTGGTTCAATAAAACATCCAGATCGATACAATCAACACGAATACAAATGTTTGCACATAGCGAGGAATCGAACCAGCAACCAACGGTAGTTCAGTGCTAAACGGCTAGACCACCGAGGTTGTCAAAAATGAACATATACGTTTTAAAAAGGCACATCTCTCTCTTTTTGTCTTGTGATTACTACTTAATTTATTACCAACTCATCGAAGTCTAGTTCGAACCCGGAAATTTTACTTAAGTATTTTTTTTATGGCATCGGAATTAAACAAAGTAATATAAATCCACTAAGTATATAAATAATCATCATCATCAGCCCACTGCAGTCCACTGCTGGACATAAGCCTCTCCCATATAAATAATAAACAAAATTAATTCAATATAAGCATTTTTTTTCTACTTGCATATACAGCAGTTTAACAGAATATCTCAAGGCTTAGCCCCCGGATTTGTTTTAATCCCACCTCACCCGTTTATATAGAGCCCCTGGGTATATTCAACACGTTCGAACACGTACCCTCCACTTTGATTGGACTGCCAGTGGTATAAGCAATCTGTGTGTACTAATTACACGCACTGAACCGTTATGTATTTGTATAGTTCATGAATATAATGATTGGATAAGGAATAAGGTTCCAATACTATTTGGAGCATATTTGTATGTTTCTTCGTGTACTTTAATAATAACTAGCTACTCGCCGGCTTCGCCCGGGTGTACACTGTACATGTACCGGATGGATTTTGACGCGGTTTTTTGATTAGATTCAAGAGAAATGTTTATATGTATAATACATATACAACAGTCCGAAGCTGGGTAGTTAGTAATTTTAATAAAACATGTATGGAATGTACTACTGAAACTTCGAGTTAAATAAAACTTACCTTTTTAATTTATAATCAACGTGTACAAATTTACTTTTGAACCAGGCAACACCGTGATAGTAAGATGGTAACAAATATTTTATAAGTAGAAGGCGAATTATAATAATTATTAGAGCACTACAAGCAAATAGTATCGAAAACAGCTCGATTTCGAAGAATTCAGAGTAGGACATACAGGCGGCGGGCGCCCGCAGGTGTTTTGTGCCGCCGTGTCTCAACAGATAGTGTGCCCACCAGAGGGCTCGCTCCTGCGAAGTCTGCGGCGCGTCCAGTAGTAATTCTCGGAGTTTTATTATATTGCGACGGTAGCTGAAATTAGGAAATTATTTATTGTTTAATCTGTGTTTTGAGTACGTCTGTAACATGGCTTCGATAGCACAATATTTATAATATGGGCTATATATATAAGTAGTCTGAAATAAAATACATATAAAAAAATTACAGCTCATGGTAAGTAAATGTAAAGATCCGTTGGAAATGAAGTTTGCTTAGTAGAAGCTTGTACAACCCAACACTAAACTCTGGACTACTACAGCGTCCTCTGGTGTTAATAAATAAAACAACCAGCTGGCCAGCAAATGTTGGATTGTTGAACTTAAAAAGGTGTTTATTTTTACAAAATGGCGTACATATATAATGGCGTATATTTTTATCAATTACCCCAAACACAGTAATACAACGAAACCATATCGACGTCTACTTTTAACACAGCGCCATCTAGTATGTAGCTCGAGTACTAAAGCCTCTATATAAAATAACAAACTTATACAAAGCTGTAATAATAAAAATATTCACACAGCGCCATCTAGTTCCAAGCGAATCAGAGGTTTTTAAAGTGATAGAAATACATTGTCTCTTGTAACTATATATCTAATATACATAAAAACACAGACTATCATACTCAACAATATAAATATTTGCATTGTGCAAAGAATTGAACTCGCGTCCATCTAAAGCAGAGGTTTTCAAACTTTTTTGTGTCGTAGACCCCTTGCCATATTTTTCGGTTTTGGGTAGACCCCCCATTCTTACCTGGTATTTATTGATTTTTCGGAAATTTCTAACTGTAGTAAAGTTTAGTGTTTAAAACATAAAGACGAGAAGACCCCTGGGGGTCGATATAGACCACTTTGGGAAACATAAACTAATGAAGACCAGACAGAAGACTCGATATAGACCACTTTGGGAATCATTGATCTAAAGCAATGCAGTGTGCTAAACCTGATGAAACTTTACAGTATTATAGCTTATACATTAGAATAACACATATAAATTATATATATACACAAATAGAATTATATACAACATGCTGTTGGCGGTCCATTTGGCACAGGATAGAGACGCCTGGAGAGATTTGGTTGGAAGAAGCATTATTGGTGATCAAGTCAGCCTTGAGGAATCGACAAAGAATTAATTAATGCGTGTGAAATCGCGGGCACAATTAGTATTTAATAAAAAGCTTACCTTGTATCAGTAATCAGAGTATTGATAGCATTAATCATTTCTTCTTCAGTAACGTCATTAATTTCAAGTTTTATTCCTATTTTATGTACAACATATCTTTCAGCGTTCGCCCACTGGTCCCAAACTAACGGCATTCCTATTAAAGGTACGCCTGCATCGATCGCCTCATCGGTCGATTGTATACCACACTGTGTTATAAACACCTTCACATTGGGATGTTCTGTAACAGATAGTTTAAAAACATTTATGTTTTCATAAAACACTAAAAACTTACTATTACGACTGTTGTCCCAGATAGAGTAATCAGACTTGTCAACTCTTGTAAAAATGTAACATATCCACAGTGGCATATTTTCACATTGGAATGTTCTGTCCTATTCGGAAAGAAATTCAGCTCGTATTCTTTTCAAATAAATGTTATACATGTTTACAATACTGATTCATTTTTAAATTCAATTTTTTTAATTTGAATTTAAAAATGAATCAGACTCAGTTAGTGTCGCAACAAATCACGTTGATTTTCGGGGGAACCACCATTTGAAAAATAAATTGCAATCAATCTGTCTATATTTTAAAAAAGTAACAATAGCTACAGCGACTCTGAAATAATGGTAAAAGAATAAGGAAAGCAAAGGACTTACTCAAAAGATCTGCTTGTGGCAGCCATTTGGCTATTTTAACGTTATCTGGCTTTCCTGCCAGTACATCTTCGGGCCATTTGAGGAGGAAGTCATATGGTAGCTTCGAGAAAGCGTTGAGTAATATTTGTACTTTTTCTGAATACAACTTCACGTCCGCACTCGTCCCGAATGACACGTACACCACTCCTTTAGCTGAAGAGTCCAAATATGATGATAACTCCTAAAACGGAGAAATTTATAAAGAATAGAATAGAAAATCATTTATTCAAATAAACTTAATATAAGCACTTTTGAATAGTCATAACAATTTGTTTTTATCTACCACTCGTTCGGAAAGCTGTTTCATCACAAGAAGAACGTGCAGGAAACTTGTGTGTTGCTCTTTTAAATAATCCTAGTAAGTTTACAAGTCGAAACGTGTGAATACAAACTACCAACAAGCACTAATTTTTTGGGTCAAATATAAAGTAACTAACTGACTCGGCAAACGTTGTTTTACCATATAAATTAATATCGCTATTAAACAATAGGGGTTGGTAATAGAAGGGGGTAAATTTAGGGTTGTTTGTATTTTTTCACGCCACATAATAAAAAATATTGTTGAAAAAATGAAACGAAATTTTTGGGTTGAGCCACCCTTAACAGTTAAGGATACAAAAATTTGTTACAAAACTTGTCAGTTCTACTGAATATACATATAAAATTTCATCAAAATCGGTTAAGCCGTTTATGCTATACTTAATATACTTATAAAATTCTCGTGTCACAGGTATCGTGTTTAAACACGAGAATTTTATATATTAGGTAAGAAACCCCTTTATTCAGAAATTAAAATTATTTGTGGAAGTTTTATTTAAAATATGTGTATGTTTTTTTAACAATAAATATCTAATTTTGGAGAGACTTGGCACATGCCTCCTTAAGCGACTTCCATTGGTACCAATGGAGAAATTAACAAATCATAACTAAAATAAGTGGACTTATCGCAAATTTATGAATATTTTATTTCAAATTATCTGAATTATTTTTATTTATGTTCAATATATTTTGTATCGATTTGTCGTAAATTTTATTTAGTGGGGTCTCAATACATTTTTCATTTTTCTCAAGGCATTTTTCTCTTTATTGCGGTTTATTTTTACAGAAATAAGATTGCCATCGACATTATTACGTTCTGTACCAAAGTCTAATGTAAAAAGGTCAGATATACAATTTACGTATTACGTTTAGGATCTATAGAAATACAAATCATTATGTGATATTTTTAAACCATATGTTGTTTAAAAATATCACACCATGATCTGTATATAGAATAGGTTTACAGTTTTAGCCTTTTGTAAATGAACTGAGTTTAAAGTAAATAAGTCTGAATAATAATAATAATAATATCTCAGGACAGTTTACACAGCGCCATCTAGTCCCAAGCTAAGCAGAAATTGTGTTATGGGTACTAGACAACTGATATAAATACATGGATACATTTTTTTTGTAAATAAATACATATTATACATATAAAACACCCAGATCGATACAAACAATCATACTCATGACTACAAAATGTTTGTACCGTGCCAGGAATCGAACCCACGACCATCGGATAATAAAGCAGTGTGCTAAACCACTAGACCACCGAGGTTGTCAATGACATACAATATTCATTTACTTCTTATGTAAACATTAGACAGACAGATATTATGTACTTGCACTGATAAATATAATTACTTACGATAAATATTTTCTAAACCATGAAGCTGATATATTTAATGATCTAAATAAGAATAAAGGAGAGTTTCCAACTCAGTTCCTTCCTTTGAATAACGAACATTGAAATAACATAAAATTAATAATTCATGACCTATTTAAATAGTAAATTTACATATTACAACGTATAGATGTACTTATGGTAGAGTTAAACGAATTGTACAAATTATTTTGTTTTACTAAGTTTTTAATTTGTTATTTTTGGGCTATGATCTTGTATGGGCGGATGTATCCGCGGATACTTAATTTCTTTTGTGTAATTAACGATAAATGTGTGCAAAATGAAGTTAAAATTATGTCTCTTTGAATTGTATTTCTGTTTATGAATTTCGAATTTTACAAGTAGCCCAATTGTATTTTCAAATACTATAATTTATATCAAGAAAAGTAGTTTATTGTCAGTTCTCCTTAGCTCGAAAGCACTCCGAACTGACGAGAGATCTGACATATCATACGAGTCTGTAATAGACCTACACGAATTTTTATTCTATTTCAGTCTATTGTGCATATTATAACATGCTGACCACCTTCATGAAGGAGGTCTACTGGCCGAAGGGGGTGGTGTATTTGCGCTACCGTGGCAGATTACCGTCGTCAGTGCCGTGATCATAAAAACAATTGAATTTATGTTTTATTATTATTTCTTCTGTATGTCAGTCTATAAGGTATTTATATGTATGTTTACATGTACTTACGTTTAGTAAATATATATTATTTATGACATAGGTATTATTTTTCTTATTGATTACATTTGCACAGCCTACAGTTTCTCTGCACAGCCTGTGGTTAACTGGTAGAAAATCCCGTAAGGCGTTAAGTCCGCCATATGTACTTTTACCTTGGTATTTTGTGCATTGAAGTATATAAATAAATAAAATAAAATATGGCGCATATTTTATTACATACATATAAAATATGGGGTGTAGCTTGAATTAAATAAATAAAAAAAAATATTACCTACTATTTTGATTTCATTCACGTTACAACTGCACTTGACATTAATTAATTTTGCATGTCAGATTCTAGAGAAGTGTCAATATTAAATAGAACAGAACAGAATAGAATAACCAATTATTTGAACTAAATGAAATAATAGAAAAATAATAGAATAACTAACTGTCGCGTACAAGCAGAAACAAAACGCAACACAAAGGGAGCGTTCTGATTGGAGCGCACACACATCCAATTCAAATACGCAACGTAATGTAACAGACTTAAAATATCAACCGACCGATCTAACGTACTTTTGTTCACTCCACCAAATTTGTAATAAATAGTATTTTTGCCATTAAATTCGAGACTATCAAGCGAAGTCTATCATTTCTACACCCTGTAATCTGCTGAAGCCATCATCATCTACCATCTGAGCATTCGAGCCGCATCATCACGTACCACTAACTATTTGAACTAAATGAAATGGAAATTACTTACTTTGGGCAGCTCCTTGTGTGGTTTTTGATGTATCCCATAGGTATAAATTACAGGAAGTGGTACCGGTCGAATGACGTCCCAAATAGGATTTGTGTTCACATATAACAAGTGTACATTATCTTGCAAAACATCAATAATTGGTGCTGATTTGAAGATCGTTTCTTTCATTGCGTCATGTGCATCTAAGTACAGCTGGTTGAAAGTCAGATCTTGCATACCAAGATCTATATACAGTTCTGATAATTCTTCTAATAGTGTAAGATTGTAGATTCTTTTTCGCATAGATTGAGGATACATCCGCGGCTGCGACGGAGCTCCGAAGTTAGCCATGTCACCGTATATTGGTCCGAAGGAATTTATCTCTATCACAGGCACTTTGTAGTAATGGGATATCATTAAAGGCATTTTCATTAATGATTCCGTTACTAACAAATCGAAGGTGAAGTTGTCGTTTCCAAATAGCTTGATCACTTCGTTCGCTTCGAATTGTTTTACCATTATTTTTATAAATATTTTCAACGTTTTACCACATAATGTGATCATGTCGGTTCCAGCTTCCATCATTATTTTTGAAATGTCCTCATTCCATATCTTGAGGCTTATGTCTTTAACATCAATTTGTGTGAGGTTTGCTGGTACTTGTTCTTTTGGATACACCGGCCATACTGTGATGACCACGACGTCGTGACCGTCATCAAGAAATGCGTCAACTAAGCTATTAAATACTTGGTGGTGACTGTACGAGGGATTAGAAAATACAGCTAATATTTTAGCACTATTTACAATAATTAGCGAGTGTATTAAGACAATGGCGATAGTACGAAATAGTGTTGACATCGCGACTATACCGGATAAGTTGTACTGTGCAGAATGACAATTTTTATAGCCAAAATGTTATTTTACATCAAGGTTGTGTTCAATAGAATTTTCACCAATTGTGTTATTAAATTTGTTTAAATAATGTATGCTTGTACAGATGAATGAAACGTTTCAGTATTTCTTCTACATTGGTCTAGTATGTTATGTAGATTGTCAAGATCATCTATGAAAAATTCAAAAAAGTAATCAAGAACGTTGAATATTTATGCGATTTATTCTGGATCTCAAAGGACGATTGGCGAATTTTTTAGACATTTCAGTACTGTCTATAATGAATCAATTAAGAATAGAATTCAGTAAAATTACATAAAACATTGTAAGATCCCGTGATTTTTCCTAATTATACGTGATTCTAATAATGATGTCAAATTTTGTAAATATAATATTAATATGTTTAGCAAAATTTTTGCACCTCGTTTTACGAAAAACGCGTGGATAGAGGAGTATGAAATTTCGCACACTTGTAGTTTATATAGAGGAGGAGTACAGAAAGCTAATATTTATTTTAAATTATGCAGAACAATAGATAAAATCAGTAAAAAAAACATTATACACTCTATTATTATTCTCTCTCTACTCTATTAGTATTTTATATAAGTACGGTTTTGTTTATTGTTAAAGTTTGTGGTCAAATTGAGAATAGATCAATATTGTTTGTCTTTAATATTATTTACTCTTCTGAACTTACTGAACGTTAGGTTAATTGTGGTGAGTTTCGACCACTGGGCGAACACTAGTATTTATTACTAGCTTTGCACACGGTTTCAACCGTGTGAAATTTATAGCCTATATGTTATTCTGATCTATAAGCTATATTACGGTAAACTTTCATCAAAATCCGATCAGTGGTTTTTGCGTGAAAGAGTAACAAATTACCATCCATAATCATAAACTTTCGCGTTTATAATATTAATAAGATCTATAGGATTGAAACTGAATATCTAATTGTGATCATTCAGTGTATTTTTATACAAGATCGGTTTGTATTTTTACAGCAAAACAATCAATCGCTGTTTCACGGTTGAAGCGAATGAAGCACGGTTATCAATCACCTGCTATCGGCACCTAGCACTCCGTGAGGGTACCCTTACCACCCCCGCACCTTCTGTATTCAACCGCTTCGACCCTCGTCTGGAGAGGCATGCATGTTAAAATTTAACATATGTCCAATACAGACGGAATCGTATGACAGCACTCGTATAAAGATAGATATATTTATCTTTATACTAGCTACCTACCCTGGCTTCGCACGGATGTACATGTTTTATACACGTAAACCTTCCTCTTGAATCACTCTATCTATTAAAAAAATGCTTCAAAATCCGTTGCATAGTTTTAAAGATTTAAGCATACATTGGGACAGACAGCGACAGCGATTTTGTTTTATACTATGTAATGATAATGACGAGTAAGTACTGTTATAAGTTGTGTGATTATGTCATGTGATTATGTCATGGCGTGGAACTCAATCTGATATTGTTCAGGGTTATTAATCCACATTTGTAACAATCCCTTTCATCCTAAATAATATTATAATTTCTTCAACATTGTGGCAGTGTATGTACTTCTTTACAATTACTTGTGACGTCATACAAGTGTAACTCAATTAATCGTGTATTTACTTGGAATTGGCAATTAAAGATAGTAATTATTATGTAGATTCATTTATTAAAAAATACAGAATGTTTGTCCAAATGTAGGTAATACCAAACCCAATAAACTGTCAGATAGGTATTATGAATATGAGATAACGCAATTTGTAACTTAATAATATCTCAGGACAATTCACACAGCGCCATCTAGTACCAAGTTAAGCAGAGCTTGTGTTATGGGTGCTAGACAACTGATATAAATATATAGATACATTTTTTTATACATACATACATACATAATATTTTAAAGTGCAATAAAGAATAAAAAAAAAATACATAGAAAACAGCCAGACCGATATAAATAATCATACTCATAAATACAAATGTTTGTACCGTGCGAGGAATCGACCGGCAACCATGGGATTGTAAAGCGGCGTGCTAAATCGCTAGACGTTCACATACGTGTATTACTTTGCTATCATCATATCATCATCAGACCACTGCTGGACATAGGTCTCTCCCAAGGCATCCGCATTCAGAACCGAGCAGCCAGAATAGTTGGTAATCAACGTCTATGTGACAGACTCGACCCATTGGCTTTGCGGCGTGATATTGCAACTCTGTGCATTTTCTACCGCATATATCACGGGGAGTGTTCTGAGGAATTGTTCGGATTAATACCAGCTGCTGAGTTTCACCACCGTACCACCCGACAGAAACTGAAATACCATCCTGATCATCTGGATGAATGGCGGTCTTCCACAGTGCGGTTTTCTAGAAACTTTTTGCCTCGCACAACCACATTGTGGAATCACCTTCCAGCAATGGTATTTCCGAACCGATACGATATTGAAACCTTCAAGAAAAGAGCTTATTCTTTTTTAAAAGGCCGACAACGTACTTGCAATTCCCTTGGTGTTGCGGGTGCTCATGGGCGGCGGTAATCACTTACCATCAGGTGAGCCGCATGCTCGTTTGTCCCCTGTGTTATAAAAAAAAGGCACCCGTATACAACCCTACGTATGTCACTTTTCTCCAGTTCTTAAATTAGAACTAGTCTACAAAAACTTAGAAGCAATTGCTTTGAAAGACTCAGTATAGACTGCTAGAGCCCGAATTACTATTATAAACCATTTTATTACAATGACGACCTCGGTGGTCTAGCGGTTTAGCACACCGCTTTATGACTGATGGTCGCGGGTTCGATTCCTCGCACGGCACAAACTTTTGTATTCATGAGTATGATTGTTTGTATCGGTCTGGGTGTTTTCTATGTGTAATATTTATGTATTGAGGAAAAAACAAATCAATGTATTTGTATCAGTTATCTAGTACCCATAACACAAGCTTTAGCTAGCTTAATTTGGGTCTAGATGGCGCTGTGTGAACTGTCCTGAGATTATTATTATTATTACAATGAAAAGCGAAAAGGGACATCCGAAAGTTTTTATTAATATTAATATTTCTTACTTGCACTCCACTTTTTTTTCATTTAACTTGTTATAATTATCTATACTTATAATTTTAGTTTTCAACCAATTGAGAGTGAAATCGAAAGATGGTTTTATATATTTTATAGATAGAATATAGAAATAGAGAAGAAATATAGTACTAAAGAGGAATATGATTAGGAATAGTTCTATTTCGAAGAATTCAGCATGGGACATGTTGGCGGCGGGCGCGCGCAGGTGTCGTGCCCCGCCATGTCTCAACATGTACTGTGTCCAGCGGACCACTCGCTCAGACGGACGCTGCGGCGAGTCCATCAGTAGTGTCCGAAGTTTTATCATATTAGTACGGTAGCTGAAATGGACATTACATTCATTGATTAGCCATTATCAAATTAATCAAAATATCTTTATTCCAAAATATTTATTATCGTCGAGATCTTTGGGGGAGGCCTATGTCCAGCAGTGGACGTCTTCCCCGGGCTGCGATGATGATGATGATCTTTATTCCTTTAGGTCTATTACAGACTTATGATATGCTGAATCTACCGTCAGTGGTTTCGAGCTAAGAACTGATAAGAAACTCTGCTCCTATCTATACATATAAATAAAATTGGAGTCTATTTGTAATATTGAAATAACCGTTTTTTACTACATGCATATGAATATAAATACGGTACATACACCAAAATATAATTTTTTACAATTTTTGTCTGTTTGTTCCGACTAATCTCTGAAATGGTTGGACCGATTTTGACGAGACTTTTTTTGCATGTAGCTGATGTAATAGGGAGTAACTTAGGCTACACGGGAACAGCTAGTCTAACGGTTATTTCAATATTACAAACAGATACCCAATTTTATTTATATTATAAATAGTTAAACTAGGAAAAGATATAAATAAATGTTTTTTTTACCTGTTGTCTGTAACAACAGTATTCACAGCGTTCACTATCTGTTGCTCAGTTATATCTTTTATATCAAGTTTGACTCCAATTCCATGTATAATATATCTTTCAGCGTTCGCCCACTGGTCCCAAATTAAAGGTACTCCAATTAGAGGTACGCCTGCATCGATCGCCTCATCGGTTGATTGTATGCCACACTGCGTTATAAACACCTTCACTTTGGGATGTTCTGTAACAGATAGTTTAAAAACATTTATGTTTTCAAAACACTTTTTTTCTATAGTTACGCCCTTATTTCCATAGACTGAAGGCCCATGCCCTTTTTAGCATTTTTTTTGTTAATTTTTTCCTCGCTTTTAGTGCTCCAAGAATTATATGCATTGTGGCTTCCCGCAGTGTATTTTTTTTATATATTATACATTTATATATATATGCACATATATATTTCTTATTGTTTTTTTATTTTTTTAATAATACTTTATATTATTATTTTACATTTATTATTATTTCCTACGGGAGCCTACGACATTTGTTAATTAATACAGTAATTACCTACATTTATTAATATTTTTGTCTTGCCCTTATCATATTTATATTAAACTTATTATATTTATTATTACATTATTAATTGGCTTTGTTACTTTCAGATACTAGAATACGCATGATATTTATAGCCTATGTCGTCGGTTAAATAGATAAATAGCAATATTCCAAATCTACTTTTTTTACAAGACAATCATTTAAAGTTTTTAAACTTATTTAAATTATAATATTTTCCTTTAAAGTTTTAACAAAAAATTAAAAATAAGTATTATATATCATTTTAAAAGTATTTAGATAATGATTTAGACGGCGTGGTTAATTTAATTTAATTATATAAAAGAGGCAATTCTAGCTTTTAATTTTGAAAAATGACATTTTTCTATTTAATCAACGATGTGTTATTCTGACGTATAAGCTATGTGAATTCCAAATGAGTAGCAAACATCCATCCATCAGTCTTTCCATCCACACTCACAAACTTTCGAGTTTATAATATAGGATTTAGGAATTTATTCAATAACAAAAGTGTTTCAATTGTTATAAAAATAACATGTAATCATACGGTGACAACCAAGTTCTAACTCGTTTCTAATCACCCAACTAAATACTAAATAATTTCCGTCGACAAAGTACAGTATTATCTCTTAACTCCTAATTGCGAAATAGTACTGACTTCTGTTATGGGCTTAGCAATATGAGAATATAACTCCCAGACGAGTAGGTGAACAACTTAACTAGTAAGCCTCTAATATTCGAGGGTTCCACTCAAGCTGGAATTATTTATTTATTTACATGCTCTCGGTGAGTATTACAGTATCATACCAATGCACTTATCAAGGAATTAACTTACGCAATACATACATTAATAGTAATAAATAATTAAACTAATCTACATTTCACTACAAAAGGCTGTTATCTCAGATACACGTGAAATAGTAAGTCGCTTCCTAAATACCACAGAACAAACCATCAAGCAATATAAATTAACCAGATACTTGGCATGTCCCGTCCTCGTCCTGGGTACTAATCACCACCGGAAGCTGTGATAAATAGATAATAATAATAACAATAATAACACACACACAATGCACTTACTTGGTTTCGGCCCGTAAGTATGGAAAAAACGAACAAAAGCTGAGAGAGTGTTTATATATATTACGATAATAATAATAATAATAGAGAAAAAAAATATATAGAAAATAAACAATTATAGAAATTACAATAATAACAATAATTTAGATACGTATAATACTCGAATGCTGTGACTCCACAAAATTTGTTAACGCTTTGTGAAACTCTGGGGCAGTAATAATAATAATAATAATATCTCAGGACAATTCACACAGCGCCATCTAGTACCAAGCTAAGCAGAGCTTGTGTTATGGGTACTAGACAACTGTTATAAATACATGGGTACATTTTTTTTTGTAAATAAATACTAATATTATACATAGAAAACACCCAGACCGATACAAACAATCATACTCATGAATACAAATGTTTGTACCGTGCGAGGAATCGAACCCACGACCATCGGATAGTAAAGCGGTGTGCTAAACTACTAGACCACCGAGGTTGTCAACAGTTAAATATGTTAAGTTGACAAATAGTATCGTGAGTATCTGTAGATACCTCATTAAGCAGACGGAGTGTTCTTGGGATTGGTGCATGATCAGCATATTGTATATAGAATAGAATAGAAAATAGAATAGAAAATCATTTATTCAAATAAACTTACATTGAAGCACTTTTGAATAGTCATAACATTTTTTTTTTTTTTAATCTACCGCTCATTCGGAATGCTGTCTCATCACAAGAAGAACAAGCAAGAAACTTGTGTGTTGCTCTTTTAAATAATTTATTCTTACTTACAATTTAAGTTTAAGTGTGTGAATACAAACCACCGATTAGCACTAATTCAATTAAATACTCAAAAAGAAAAAAAATATTGAATACATAACCAACTGGTTAAACAATTAATAAGAGGAAATCAGTCATAGTGATTAGAGCAGACCAGTCCCTACAAGCAGCACCCGTTCACGAGTATGACGGATGAGCCAGCCATCACTGCGCTCGACCATATTTTAGGGAGCCCAATGACCCGGCCCACCACGCCGCCACAAGTCTGGACATTTTAGTGAGCATGACTACTCAAAACACCAGACCACGTCATAGCTACTCACAATTGCCATCTGATGTTTATAGTATTCACATTTCACATAAGAATGCATGCGGCAATTAATACAAAACCCGCTATGCTTTCATATTTCTAAAATAATTGAATCAAGAAAGCAATGAGATAAACAAATTATAACGTTGTATGCTAATAAACTAATTATTTACTTGATATGTTGTCTTCTATGAATTCGTCTATCCTGTAATAGGCTTTCTTACACAAAAATTGTTTAATATAAGATTTGAATTGCCTCTCTGTCAGATTTAGTGCAGATTCTGGCAGTTTATTATAAAATCTTACGCAATTACCATAGAATGAATTACTGACTTTGTGCAGGCGGCATTTAGGTAAAATTAGCTTATTTTTATTCCGTAAGTTTCTATTTGTACAGTCTTTAAGTTTTCTAAAACTGTCTAAATTCTTCCGTGTATACATGATATTCTCATAAATGTATTGTGAAGTAACGGTGAGGATATTTGAATCTTTAAAACACTGACGTAATGACTCTCTTGAACCCATACCATAAATAGAACGTATGGCTCTCTTTTGTAAAATAAATATAGTATTTATATCGGCTGCTTTACCCCACAGTAGTATACCATATGACATAATGCTATGGAAATAACTAAAGTATACAAGTTTAGCCGTCGCCACGTCTGTTAATTGCCTAATTCTTCTAATTGCATATGCAGCTGAACTGAGTCTATTGGCCAATTTTGAAATATGGGGCCCCCATTGTAATTTCGAGTCCACTGTTATACCTAAAAAAACTGTATCATTAACAAAATTTACTATTTCGTCATTAAGCAATAACTGTGTATTTATTGGTCTTACATTAGGAAGTGTAAATTTTATACACTTTGTTTTGTTGGAATTTAATAATAGGTTATTACATGTAAACCAATTTAATATAGCAGACATAGCACAATTTACATCGTCTAATTGATTAGTTTGACGTCCAATTTTAAACACTAACGAAGTATCATCCGCAAACAGCACTATATCTGCAATTTTCTCTACCATAAAGGGAAGGTCATTTATGTAAATTAAAAAGAGAAAGGGGCCTAAGATTGACCCTTGTGGAACGCCCATCCCAATATTAGCTCCCTTAGATTTTATACCGTCAATATCTACAGTTTGGACCCTATCCTCTAAATAAGTTCTCATTAATTTTAGATCATTATCTTTTATACCATAATGTTCGAGCTTGTACAAAAGTGTTTTATGATCCACGCAATCAAATGCCTTTGATAGGTCACAAAAAACTCCGAGTGCATCCTGTGACTTCTCCCATGATTGGAAAATATGTGTTATCAGCGCTACACCTGCGTCAGTGGTAGACTTGCCGGCGGTGAAACCATATTGTTGACTGTGAAGCAGTCGGTTATCCCTGAAGTGTTGTAACATTTGATTTAACATTATCTTTTCAAACACTTTACTTAGAACTGGCAAAATAGATATAGGTCTATAGTTCCCTGGCTCAAATTTATCTCCTGATTTAAATAGTGGGATTAATTTGCTAAACTTCATTAATTGTGGAAAAGTCCCATTATCAATACATTTATTAAAAATAGTAGCTAGATATGGAGCAACAATATCTATGAAAGAACTAACTACTTTTACAGACATGCCCCAAAGGTCTTCTGTATTTTTTAAATTTAGATGTTTGAATATTTTTATGATATGAACGGGGCTAACATGTGAAAATTTAAATCTTAAAGCACAACAACCGATATTAGACTCTAGTAATATTTTTGCTCGAGATGGAGATGAGTCCAAAGAAGATGTAATATTAATCGGAATATTAGCAAAAAAATCTTCAAAAACATTAACTACATCTTTTGTTGCTGTTATTAATTTATTATCATAATTTAATGCAAATTGATTATAGGCTAATTTAGATCTTCCGGTTTCTTTATTTATAATGCCCCAGATGGTTTTAATTTTGTCAGAAGACTGGTTAATTTGTTTATTAATATAATTAGATTTAGCCGTAATACAAACTTTTTTAAAAATTTTCGAATAATTTTTCACATAAGTGGTGAATTTGTCATCAAATCGATATTTTTTTTGATCGTATAAATCAAACAAAATATTTCTACTTTTAAGTATACCTACTGTTGCCCATTCCGTGAATTTAGATTTAACATAAACTTCTTTTTTCTTGAAAAATTGTTCATATTCTCCTGATAGAATAGTAATTAGCTTGGTGTAAAGATAATCAGGATTATTACTATATTGTAACAGCAAATCCAATTTATTTTTAATCGCGCTTTTGTATTTGTTAATATTGTAAACATTTATTTGTCTTTTTGATTTTTTATTATTGTTGACTTTATTGATCTGACTGTTAAACTTAACAACTTGACCACAGTGATCTGAAGGAAGTTTATTTATTATGAATTTTTCTGTATACTCACAGTTACAAAAAACATTGTCAAGACAAGTAGCAGACGTGGCAGTTACACGAGTGGGTTCATGAAAGACATGACTTAAATCAAATGACTGAAATAAACTAATAATTTTTGTACATGTGGGTGTGTTACAAAGAATATCAACGTTAAAATCTCCACATACAATAATTTTTTTAATACTATTAAATATTTTTTTTAAAATATCTTCCATCACCCCTTCAAAAACATTGTAATCACTATTAGGAGGCCTGTACACACATATAAGGATATAATTTTCTAGTTCTATACAAGATAATTCTATACAACACTCAATAGAAAGTCTAACAATGTCAGCACGTTCCTTTACTTTAATATTATTTCTTGCAATTATCATAGACCCGCCTCTGTTAACTGACTTTCTATTGAAGCAGCTGACAACGTTATAATTATTTAAATTGAACATCATATTGCTCTCTTTAAGCCAATGTTCTGTGAAACAGACAATATCAATATTATACTTTTCTAAAAATAATTGTATAATTAACTCGCTGCCGGGAAAACTTTGTATGTTCTGATGAACAATTATTAATTCTGATTGCTTTCCCTTTGTCTTTGTGAGCAGTTTAAATCTGCAGTCATAGTATTTATGTCACAAATATTAATAGAATTATTTGTTATGTCAGTATTTTTATGTTTAAGTTTACCATGTAAACTGTTCATGTAGTCAATATTATAAGCCACTAAAGTGGCTATTTTATTTTTAGATGATTTAGAGAGATACATTGTATCTTTTGTCAAATAAAAATCACTAATAAAACTATTAGTATCAAAAAATGTAAAAATGTCACTATGACGACATGTCAACATATGTAATAAGTTATTCAGGTAATGTACCTTACTGTTAATTTTTTTATGAAGATGTCTATTTGTGTAAGGAAAAGCGCACAATACAATCTTATACACATTTAATTGTAATAAATATTCAATTCCTTTAATTACATCCTGCCTATTTAATTGAATACTATTACCAAAAAATAACACAATTGTGGTCATATTGTTCATTTTTATAGATTTAATTTTATTTATTATTTGTGTAAATGATGCTTCTGGCATACAGTAGTTTAATAAATCACCCTTAAGATGATACTTCAAAATAGATCCAAAGTTACAGCCTATTCTGTCAGAGAACACCATTGTGCTACTCTTAGGGTTACAGTCACTGGCACAAACACCCTGAACTTCATTTTCCAGCACAGTTATAACTGAATTATTATTTGATATATTTGTGTGATTACATGTACAATGCTTAGTCAACGACTCAAAACGGTCAGCATTGTATTTACTGACATCAATCAGATCATCCATTGCTAAAATATGCTCCTGGATTTGTTTCTGAGAGATAATATACTTTGTATTTAAATCATGAAGTGAAGATTCTAAACTATTGATTTTTGAAGTTAGGTAGTCTGTATCAATGTCATATAACTTTTGGCTTTCCACTAACTTATTATTACACTTATTAATATAATCATGCAATTTTAAATTATTTAAAGTATTTCTTTTCAATAACTGACCCTTTTTACAACGCTTATTTAACATATTCCGAGTCCTAATAATAAACTTTTTTAGTTTTAAATATTTTTTTAATTTATTATGACTCAACATACAAATGTTATTGTTATAGTTGCCTAATTTAGGAGATGTATCACTAGTATGGTCAATCACAACAGGATGAGTGTAGGGAACTGTAGTCGAAGGAGGCACACAGTCAACACTAATAAGTTCCTCATATAAATTACTAATCTCATTACTTCGCTGAGATTCCAATCTTGTGTCTAGATCATTAATTTTAGAATAGGCCTGCTTTAACTCAAGCTCCAATTCAGTGATACGCCTCAAGGCTTGCTCATGGGTGTCACTACACTGATGAAAGCTACTTATTAGTTCTTGAAGCTGATCCCGCTGCTCAATAACTTCCTGATGACTATTATGAAGTTCTGACAGTTCAGATTTTAATAGTGTATTTTTATTTATAATTTTTAAAATTTCATCTTCACTCTCTTCTCTCTCCCTGATCAACTTGTCACTAAGATCTTTGGATGCCTGAAGTTCTTGTAGGGCTACTTTAAGCTTCATCTCTGTCTGCCGTGCAGTTGTGGAACGGGTAGATAGTGACATTATTGAATATATGAATAGTTACTAGGGAGAGTGAAGAGAGTTATTTCTAAACAAAGTATCACAACGAGAACAGCAACTGAACCTTACTTATTTTAAGTCTTAAAATTTTTAATTATTTCTGTTAGATATATTATATACAACCTATATTTTATAAGATTAAGTAAATGGAATTAGATTGTGCTCCTTTCCTTCAAATTATATTAATACAAAACATAAAATTACTTACAATATATTTTGTGGGTATTTTTTTTCCTTCGACGTACGCAACAACTGAACTTCACAATTATTAATATTAATTTAACTTGATATGAATATTTTGTATAAAACTTGTATATATTATGAAATTCTTTGAATAACTCCAACAAATAGTTATAGAATAGTTTTAAATATTTAGTTGTTTACCAACGAAAGAAGTTTGACAGATGGCCGGTACACTATTTTTTAATGTCGATTTTTGCAAATAATACACCTCCAATTTGTACACAAACAATAATCGACACTTATTGCACTATTAAATCACTAATAATGATATCGGAACTATAATATTCGTGTGATAAACTATTAAAAATTATTTATTTATTACGGCCAGCTGATAAAGACAACTGTCGTTGGTGTTGCCAGTCGAAGAAAAAAAAAAAAAAAAAACTATATATATATAAGGTTCTGCACCGGGGCAGGGCAAATATTCTATGTCTACGATCGCGTTTATCAATTTCTGGGACGTGAAAGTCGATCAGGCCCAAGATAGTTGCATCATATGATATAGTGACTCCCAAAAAATGGTAATATTCACTTTGTTCTTATGGATGACTAGCTGTTCTCGCGACTTCGTAGCGTGGAATTTAACTTTATTTTTCTAAAATAAAAGTAGCCTAAGTTACTCCTTATTACATCAGCTACCTGCCAAAAAAGTCCCATTAAAATCGGTCCAGCCATTTCAGAGATTAGCCGGAACAAACAGACAGACAGACAAAAATTATAAAAAATGTTATTTTGGTGTATGTACCGTATTTATATTCATATGCATGTAGTAAAAAACAGTTATTTCAATATTACAAACAGACACTCCAATTTTATTTATATGTATAGATAATGGAATGGTGCACCCGCTGACGGGGCACCAGTGGAGGATGATAAGCGCACTAAATCTTTAATATTAAAAGCAACTCACTCAAAAGATCCGCCTGTGGAAACCATTGAGATATTTTTACGTTATCTGGCTTCCCAGGCAGCTCATCCTCGTGCCACTTGAAGAGGACATCGTACGGTAGCCGTGAGAACGCACTGAGCAGTGTCTGTACTTTTGTTGAATACTGGCATTTGTTTGCTGTTGTACCAAATGATACGTATACGACTCCATTGACTGAGGCGTTCATGTATGATGACAGATCCTGAAACATACATATCTGACTAATCCTTAATTCTTAATAATATTATAAATGTGAAAGTAGAGATGTTTGTTACGCTTTCACGCAAAAACTACTAAACCGATCATCATGAAATTTTATACACATGTTCTTGCAGGTATTAGAATGAACATAGGATTATTATTAAAAAAGAAACAAATATTTTTGATTCAATGTGAGCGAAACCGCGGCTTAAAGCTAGTATTATATGTGCCAAAGTTTGTGAGTATGTAGATGTTTGTTTGTTACTATTTCATGCAGAAACTGCTGAACGGATTTTAATGAAACTTTACAGTAATAAAGCTTATATATCAGGACATATGGGCTATGATTTAAAAACATATTAATATATGAAGATATACTAGCACAAATTTTAATAAAATCAACAAAATTGCGAAATGGTCTGAAGTAAAACAATAATAGTTGGAATATACTGAACACGTTATTTTTAATGAATTAATAAAAAAAAAAATTCGTCTGGCTACAGGCAGTACACTGTATTCTACAAATAAATTATTTGATTTGATGAATTAAAAAAAACAAGAAAAATTCGTTAATAAATCTATCGTCAATACTCACCTTGGGAAGTTCCTTCTGCGGTTTCTGATGTATCCCATATGTATAAATCACAGAAAGCGGCACTGGTCGGATAGCGTCCCAAACAGGATGGGTGTTCATATATAACAAATGCACATTGTCCTGTAAGATTTCTACACCAGGCGCTGACTTGAACAATGTGTTTTTCATTGCTTTATTCGAGTCTGCATATAACTGATTAAAGAGTAACCTTTGCATATAAATATCTGCGTATAATTCTGTTATTTCTTCAAAGAACGTAAGATTTGCAAGTCGCTTTCTCATAGTTTGAGGATATAGGAGTGGTTGTACCGGAGATCCCATGTTATCTATATCGGCGTACACAGGTCCAAATGAATTGATCTCAATCACTGGCAACTTGTACATATCCGATATCATCAAATTCATTTTCATCAACGATTCAGTCACTATCAAGTCAAATTTGTTATTTTTATCCTCAATTACTTTCAACACTTGGTCTGTTTGGAATTGCTTCTCACTTAGTTTCACGAACAACTTCAACGTTTCACTTACCAACTCGAGGAAATTGTTTTCGGTCGCTTCTATTGTTTTTGACATTTCTTCCGTCCATATTTTGAGTGATATATCCTGTACGTCGATCTGAGTGAGGTTTGTTGGTGTTTCTTTAGGGTATGCTGGACATGCGGTAATGACGACAATTTCGTGACCATTATCGAGCAAAGCGTCAATTAACCTTTTAAAGACTTGGTGGTGACTGTACGATGGATTCGAGAAGACGGCCAATATTCGTGCACTGTTCACCAGAGACGAATACAAAATGCAACAAACGATTACACGGAACGGTATCGACATTTCGACTGTACTTATTTACTGGAATGTATTGAATATTCTGACGGTTACTATTGTGATAAAACAGCTAAGTTGTTTTTTTCGTTCAGGTAATTATTTACGGTAATTCAACTGACTGTTTTAATTAACTTATTTGCTTTATTATATACATCTGAATATACAACCATAAAACTTACGGGCCACATTTTTTTTATTGTCATAGACTAGTATTTATCTATGAAAGGATTGTGTTGATGTTGATATGAATTGATTGTGGATATGTAGTGAGAAATAAATATGTTTTTTTGTAACTACAATGGTAAACAAGTGACGGAAAGTGGTAACCGTCTACTACATAAATGAACAGCATGCACTTTAGCACTCCGCTTTACTTTCGATGGTTGCAGGTTCTATTCCTCGCACAGTACAATTTGTATTCATGAGTATGATTGTATCGGTCTGGGCATTGTCTATGTATATTATGTATGTATTTACAAAATGTATGTATTTATTTATTTATATCAGTTGTAATAGTTCCCATAATACAGTTTTGCCTAGCAAGTGACTAGAAGACGCTGTGAGAATTATCTTGGGATATTATTATTGACAATAAAAATTTTATATAGTTTTTACTAACTAATTTAGGACTTTTTACAACAGACTGAAAGTTTAAAAAGAGACAATGCAAATTTTTACTGAATTTATGAAAAAAAACATAGGTAACGCTTCTTGTTCGTAATTGGAATTGCGAGAAGATTCTGAGATTTCTCTTTGGATTCACGTCATAAAATTAGTTTATATTTATCAAATTTCTCGCTTACTGCTCATATTTCAAATCGGTTTAAAAACCAAGTGTATGCTAGAGTACATCTAAATTGGATGTAAATCGATTCAGACCTATTTACTTAGCAATGAAAGTGACTTTTCCCGCGTTATTATGGCATAATATTATGAAGTCATTACGCCACATTTACAACAATGAAAAAAAAAACATAATGACTATAGAATGTAACTGGTTACGGGTCAGTTGACAATGTAAATGACTGAGAACCGCGTTACGCTGAATTCGTCTGCTTATTTTAATGTAATTCTTACTGCAGTTAACAGACGACACAATTTGCAATGGTTTGAATGGCGGATTAATGTTTTGCTATCTCAACTTAATTTTATTGTTATTTGCGTTTTGTCGGTTTCATTAGTTTGCATATCGACGTGGGAATGTTAGTTGAAAACATGAAAATAATAGTCTAGAATATAATTTACAAAATGGCGTCTTCCTTTCTTCTATACCTATAGGTTAGGTCTGGAATTACAACCGTGACATAATATATGTATGTAACATATATTTCGTCACGGTTTTAATTCTAGACAGGGTTGTCAGTGGTATTAATGTTGGCGTTTTATTTTGTTTTGTATTTAGCTAACAATATAAAATATTATGTGTAGTATTTACAATATAGAATTTGGGGTCAGCTTACCGTCATATCTCTCTCTCTCTCTCTCTCTCTCTCTCTCTCTCTCTCTCTCTCACTCTCTCACTCTCTCACTCTCTCTCTGGTTGATTGAATGATATTGGAATGGTGTTTTCGGTTACGCTAACGGTTTTCGCTGGCGTAGCACTAGTGGAAATGATAAGATGAACACCAGGTCAGGTTAGATAGCTCAGCTTAGTAAATTTACCCGAAATTTATCATGATGGTTTCTAGAGGGAACCCCATAGAGATAATCCTGACATGGTACATTTCTAGCAATGGCATCCATCCACTTTAGTAGGGTGGAAAGAGGATTGCTAGTAATATGGATTGATGATCTTATTGCTAGCAATGTTCCATGTCAGGTTGAACTCTACGCGGTTTCCCTGGAAACCATCGTGGTAAATTCTTGGTGAATTTGTCATGATGAGCTAACTGACCTGACATCATGTTCATCTTATCATCCGCCACTGGTGCCCCGCCAGCGTAAACTGTTAGCCCAGGCGGATGCACCATTCCATTATCATCCATAAAAAAAACAATTTAGTACAATTCCCTTACTTACTCCTGGTGTATGTCGAAAGGAATGCGATATAGCAGCCACAATTAAAATAGTTGCAGGTAATCACGGTGTCCCTTGTATTCCTTTGTTGGATGATTCCAAGGAATAACCAAAAATTTATTATGTATTTTAATACTTTTGCAATGAGTGTTATATTCGTTAATATTATAGATATGTTTACTGATCTCAAATCAATATCTTTAGACTTTTATATGAGAAAACCTAATTTATTATTTATTTTTAAGGAGTTAAATGGTTACCTAGTTATCGATGTTTAGTCAGATATTTAAATTGTCACAGTCAGATTCGATCTCACGACCGTTAAGGTGTAAGTCGATGTAATAACCACCAGGCTAGGACTTTTATTAATTATGATGTTGTATTAAAAATGATAACATAGAATTATTTATTCAAACAACATAATATCACGGCGTAATCCTTCCTGAGGCGAAAGGGTATCATTATATATTCTAAATATTTTACGTTTGGATTACGCTATGAATACCAATATTTTCACGTGGGCGCGCATCCCTTACGTTTTGTTTTTTTTTTTAAACTGAATGGTAATTTGTTTTAGTCCAAATGGGGGAGCGTTTAAAAAAACTTCCCAAATGTCAGCATATTTGGGAAGTTTTTTTTAAACACCAGTTTTGAGTAACGGGTATACCGAGCCTAAAATCAAGTGGAATACTTGGAAGTAATATGCCAAGTAGAATGGTTGAGTATTGCATATTTATCTTTACATATTATAAAACAAAATCGACGCCGCTGTGTGTTCGCTTATATCTTTTAAATTATGCAACGGATTTTGCTTTTTACAACAATGATAGAGCGACTCAAGACGAAGGTTTTTATGTATAATACATGCGTGTTATAGTATAGAACAAGCTGTGAAATTCGAAGATTTGTAATGCGTGTGAAGTCAGGACAAGTAGCTAGTATATTATAAAAAATATGTATTTATACTAAGAATATGACGCGATCAATTTTCATACACACTGACACAGTTACGTTCTATATCCTTGATTAAAACATAACCGTATATCTTCCATCTCTATCAGTGACGTAAAAGCCATAGACAAATGTAGAAAGCGTCATGAAACATTTAGTAGATTATAAAAAATGTATAAGTTCTTTATTCAAAAATTTTATTGTTTCCTTGGCTTGCGATACCATATTATTTAAATTTGGAACACGCACACATACGCATTTTTATGTTCACGCCGACACTTGCCTGAATCTGAAACAAGTCATTAACGTTTTAACACGCAAATGGATTTGTACCTTATTAATGAGTTGATGCGGTTGAATGTTCTTCGTATGTTCCAATAGATATAGAAGGTAACCCCATACGTTACGCGTTAGCAGGAAGTAGTAACGGATATAAGGAATTTTTATGTGTATTTCATTATTCTACTAGAAATTAGAGCTTTGTTTATTTATAAAACTCATTTCAAGATGGCTTACTCATGATCTATTTTCTGAAAGGAATTTAAAAAATGCTTTGAACGCGTGAATATTAAGTAACGTAACGTAACTGTAATCTGAATCAGAAGTGATAATATTTAAATAATGACCAAACATAGAACGTAGATTCAAACTTACTAATTGTTGCTGACGTACTGGCTATATAGTTTTATAGTTCATACTAGCTACTCGCCCCGGCTTCCCACGGGTATATATATAAAGCTTCCTCTAAAAACACTCTATCTATTAAAAAAACTCGCTTCAAAATCCGTTGCGTAGTTTTAAATATTTAAGCATATTTAAGGACAGACAGTGACAGCGAGTTTGTTTTATACTATATAGTGATTTACATTGTATTTTCTATTAAGAACTTTATTATATATTTTTGTATACTTAATAACTTAGTTTCTAATAAATATTGTGACATACAACAACACTAATATTAAATGAAAGTTTGTGAGTATGCATGGATGGATGGATGTATGTTACTCTTTCACGCAAAAACTACTGAACGGATTTTGTTGAAACTTTACAGTAGTTTAGCTTATAAATCAGAGTGACACATCATTATCATTATCACATAGTATAAAATAGTCGCTGTGGCTCTCTATCCGTCCCTATGTATGCTTAAATCTTTAAAATTACGCAACGGATTTTGAAGCGGTTTTTTTACCAGTTAGAGTGATTCTAGAGGAAGATTTATGTATATAATACATGTACACCCGTGCGAAGCCGGGGCGAGTAGCTAGTAGGCTATAATTTAAAAAGCTATAATGTAAATTGTGCGCAATATAATGATAAATGTCAAGTAACTTCTTGACATTATGTTTCGTTTAATTTACATATCTTTTCTTCAACTTCCACCGCGAGTCAAATATATATGAAAACGTATTATTTTAAAGTATTAGGTATATTGATGTTGACAACGTTGTCCGGCAACTAAAATAGCCATAGACAATCGATCGACAGGCCAGGGCTATCAATTTTTCACAACACTGCTTGCGGGTGATCCAAGAATTTCACGGTCCCCACTCACGCCGCCACAAAAATATAATTTTGTTAACAACACTTGTATATTGAGCCATATTTGTATTACATATACTCGCCCTGGCTTCAGATTGGTGTACATGTATTATAAATATAAACTTAGCTCTTGGATCATTCTATCTATTAAAAAAACCGCTTCAAAATCCGTTGCGTAGTTTTAAAGATTTAAGCATACAGACAGCAATACCAACTTTGTTTTATACTATGTAATGATTGCTATCCATAAAATGGTTATACGAGGCCTGCCCAAAACCATTTTACTCAAAACTTAAATTTTAAGTTACTTTGAATTATAAATGATTAAAATAATAGTATAAAGAAACTAACTAAAAAGAGACTATTAGAGATTATATTAATACTAGAGTACATGGACTATATGCATGTGGACAAAAATAAAATATTACAGTTCAATGCACTTAAAAAATCTGAGTTTGGTCGCCGAATAGTCCACACTAGGTTTCTAAGCTGTAAAATATCAGAACTCTATACAATGCCTGATGATGCCTCGTTCAGAGACGAAACACGTGTCGCAATATGGGTGTAGACTACTGTAGACTCAATAACGGTCGGAATTTGATCACCAATAGAGAAGGTCGTAACGCTTCCAGTAGCGGTGGTCAGGTTTCCGCACTGAATATATTTTTTTTTTATTGAGCATATTTTTTTAACTCTTAGCTTCTGCGTTTGCGCTTTCGGGTTACGCTCGCATTAGCAGAGTATGTGAAATGTTTTATTTTAAGACGAGTGATTGGATTTGCGATGTTTTTATTTTTTAGATGATTATATATTAGGAGATGGATTATTTACACTGATGAAATTGCGGTTCTTGGTATGTATCCTTTTTTTTCCTTTCCTTCCCTTTTCCTTTTTTTATTTTATTTTTATTTTTGTGTGATTATGAATTAATGATTTTTTCGTGATTGCCGGTAGGTATCCTTTTATTTATTATTAATTTAAATTTTTTTTTTTATTGTTTTGTTTTAATTTACAGTTTTTTTTTTATATATAGTATATATACATTTTTTGATACTTTACTGGTAGCGGAATTGAACACAATATTATAAAAAAAAGCAATTTAAAAAGTTGTGAGTTTGCCGCGAAATTCTTATATAAAATTATATGATATTCTTGCTACAGAGGCGAATTACAGTGCAAAAAGATTGTGAGAAAAGTGTAAAATTAGCTAAGTTTCTTAATAAAATGACAGTCTAAAAGAGTCTCCTGTGACGGCCATAAGATTCTTTCAAATTACACTATAAAAGGTCGTTAGATTGTCGTGGTGTATGCTAAATTCTTTGCTAAAATTACAATGTCGGACTCGGTGGTCTACCGGTTTAGCTAACATTATCTTTTTATATATAAAATTCTCGTGTCACAGTTTTCGTTCCCATACTCCTCCGAAACGGTTTGATCGATTCTCATGAAATATTGTGAGCGTATTGAGTAGGTCTGAGAATCGGCCAACATCTATTTTTCATCCCTCTAAATGTTAGGGGTAGTCCACCCCTAAGTTTTTTTTATTTTAAGGCAAAACAACGTTTGCCGGGACAGCTAGTTATTCCGTAACTT